ACTTAATTTGTATTTGGTATGTGATAATTCCAATATTTGAAGTTTTGTGGGTCTAATCTAGTGTTTCGATGGCTTTTGTACATGCCATTTTCTTTGTGTGTTTAGTGATTTTGTTTTTTTTCTTTTTGAACTGCTGTGGAAATTATTTGAGAACTGAGATGAGGGTGGCTTCCTCAAGAAAGAATTTGCTTTTGTTGGATGCTTTGGGGCACTATGAATCTGGGCCACTTTTCATTCTAAATTTGGGCCTGTAAATAGTGTAGTTCTGAGCTGCAAACCTACAAAAGATATCATGCAGGAAATTACCTCAATGTAATTATACCCTATGAATGCACTCCCAGGCAAATTATGTATATCAGAGGCCACAGAACAGAAAGGCTCATGGGCCAATTTAAGATGCTCGAATTGCATGGTTAATTAAATCATTTAAAACACATCGCACTGTGCAAGGGGAAGCAATGGGATTGCTTATCACACTTGGAAGGATGGCATGGGATAGGTTGTCACACAGGATAAGGTGCAAGTGAGTGAAAGGATCACCCGAGTTGTGGGTTATACAGTCTTCTTCATGCAGCCTGACTGTGCTGCAGGCCCCTTCCCTGATGATGGTGTGGTTTCCAGGACCAGCCTTGAGGTTTGAGTAAGGGGGTCCAACAGACAGAAGACTCTTGAGGCTACCTGGCACGTACACTTTCTCTATTGGGAGATGCAGGAGCATGGAAGCCTGTCCACAGCTGCAGCTTCCAATTAACCCCATGAGCACCTATGGGGTTTATTTGTGTTTCTTTCGCAAAGGGCCAAAACGAGTGTCACCAAAGGGTAGCCAACTTAAGACCTCATGAATGTTGGGTATCTATGTGCATCATGTATATTTTGTATGATATTTAGTGTCTACTTGGTTCTTCCTTTTCTATGTTAAGCAGACAGGTGCCCTACTCACTGTATCTATACTAAATATGTCTCCCGGTTACTAATTTACTTATCCAGGCTTAACATATCTTATGCTTTCTGCAGATGCCTCACAAGTTACTTAGTTTCATTTATCTTCCTGATTTGTTTTATTTGAATATTCTTAAATAATACAGCAAATGCAAATCACATGAGAGATAGTTTGTGATTTTGCATTCTTAGGTGGGATCTGCTTAAATCCAAGGTTCAAGACAATTCTTAGGTGGTCTATGGTGAAGATGTATCCTTTTGGCATCACAACTGTGTGTAGCTTGTCTTCTATTTAGAATCTTGGGTAGGATTCCTTATTCAGCCTACTATTATATATCAGGTAAGGGGAAAATTGGCTTTAGTGTTTACTTAGCTTCCTGGGTTCCCACAGTTATTTAACACTCAGCCCAAATTATGAACCTGCTTCTTGCCAGTTCATAAATTTATTCAAGAAGGTTTAAATTTTTTCTTAAATTAGCATTTATAATTATTTTCAATAGGAAGATAGTTCTGGCACATAATCCACAACTTTGCTAAAATGGAAGTCTTGCTTTTAGGTATTTTTTTAATGGATTGTTATGTTTTAGCTAATAACTATTAGTTATTAGCTAAATAGTTAATTTAGGGAAGGAAAAGAAACAAAACAAATACATTAATTAACCTCATTTATGACTGTTTCAATTCTGCTTTTTTCTCCTTAAATTTTACACATGTGAGAACTGGTTATCTGTGACACAGAAGTTCACTTCTTTTTAATTTGTCACATTTTTGGAAACAATTAACGTAAGAAAGCAGGTTTGCCATATCACAATCCCATAGCAATATTACTACGTAATTTTGCTTCTGATCAACATTCCCACTATGGAAGAAAATGGGAGATTAGATATGTGCTCAAAAGACAGCGATTCTAGTAATGGGCTAAGAGCAAAAGAAAATTTTTTAGCGATGAAGTTATGATTAACATTTCCATATTCCAGTTTTTTAGGCAACAGACTTAAAAACTTNACTCAATGAATTTCTGGGTTTCCATATGTTAGCTATTGTTAATAATGCTACAATGAACATGGCAGTGCAGCTATCTCTTGGCATTCTAGAATCTTGATGAACCTCATATTATCTTTATTGATAGTTATTAAGATTTTATGTAGTTATGGAAGGCTGATAAATATATTGCTCTGCTTAACAGAATGCCAGATAACAAGAAGTTTAATATTTCACCTTATACGTTGTAGACAAACTCTGTGAGGAATGCTGGTCCTTTTGTGGAGTAAGCTATTACTATTTTATTGCTGAAAGGAAATCGTGGAACGAATGTAAACAGACTTGCAAGAGTTGCGGATTATCTCTTCTGAAGATAGATGAAGAAGATGAACGGGTATCATGGACGGTTGCGTTCACTTTTATTCTCTTGCATTCTGACTCGCACCCTCAGACCCAAAATATTAAGGACGGGGTGGGGACCCAGAAAGAGGGACCTTCAGTTATTTTTTGTGTTATGCCTGTTGAGAGAGCAAAACTTGTACAGTAAGAGTTTCCCAGGAGACAGCCTGCTAAGAGGCACATGATCTTGCTATTTACTAAGCATTCAATACATATTATCCACCTTGATGACCATTATTATTTCCAAAAGGGAAGCCCCTTTGAGGATGCAATTTGGATCTTTGCAGTCATCTCCCTTTCTAAGGAATCTGCAGGAAAACCACTCACAGAGAAGTATGCCTTTCTTTTGATGTAGTGCTGAACCATTTGGTAAATACACCTGGAACGAGTAGCTATCCATACCCACAAGATGGCACCTAAGAGCCCAGAGCAACATGGCCTAGTAGTTACTACAAGGAGTGCAGGAGCCAGACTGCCTGCGGCCAGCTCCAGCTCCGGCACTTACTAGCTGGGGACCTTTGGTAAATTACTTAACTTCTCTTGGCCTCAGCTTTCCCATCTGAAAATGGAGATAATAATGAGAAACATAAAACTGATAACAGTTTTACAAATTGTCCTCCTGGTGATTTTCATTGCATCTTCAGGTAACATTTACTAGATCAATATTCTTAAATGTTATATTGAAATTATATCTTTCAAAAAGAATTGTGAAAAGAAAATACAGTGACAGACTATCAAAAGTATCTTTTTAATTTATTACTAATAAACACTATCAGTTTACACACAATGTGTTTTTACAAAGAAATGTTTGCCAGGATCAGCCTGGAAACCTATATTTATCATTTAGGAAATCAACACAAAATTTATATGCTAATCTAATAGGTGTTTTATTTTTTTA